TGTGGCATTATCTTGGGGAAACACCACAAACAGGATTCATAACACAAACCATGAGCAAAAGACCCACCCCCAAGTAAGTTGGGCAGTGTCCTTTTCCCCTCAGGGTCTTAAGTCCAACAACCCAACAGTCACCCCTCCCACAGTTTCTGACTTTGCTCAGAGCAGCCCCCAGAGTTCAGAAGTGCCTCTGCAGAGTTTACCTCCCAGCCTGGGTGGAAGTGGGGGGAAGTATGGGGGCAGCTTACATGCTCTGCTGCTCGGGTCGACGGCCAATTGCTGAGGAGCCCCTCGTTGCCCCCATCATGGCGTCTGCTCTCACTGTCCTCCTCGGTGGGTATCGGAGACAGCCAGGGTGTGTGCCCCTGGGGGGGATCTGAGACCAGGGTGTCACGGACTCACAGGTGGTGCCCACTCTTGGCCCCATGCGGTCCGTAGGGGAACCCCCTTCAGTGAGACAGCCCTTCTCGGGGGTCCAGTCTCTCTTGGGGGTTAAGCTCCTCAGCCTCCTGGAGCTGCACTTCTCTGAGCCTTAGCACGCCTGTCTCTTGCCGTGGGCCCCCTCAGGGAGTCCACCCGCTCTGGACCCCCGGGGCCTCTACCCCCTGAAGGGGTTGATGCCACCCTGTTCTCTAGACCGGAGTGACTCTCAGCCAGCATGAAACAGGAGGGTTTATTGAGCATTGAACACAACACAGGAAACTCTCAGGGCCTCAGGCCTGGTCTCCCTCAGCCCAGCACATCCCAGTCTCTCTGCATCCAGGTGGGCTCTGCCTGCTCCCCCTCTCCAGCCCTGAGCCCCCCTGCTCCCAGCTGGGCATCTGAGATCACCGGCCCCAAGCCCCACCTCTGTCCATTGTCTTCTCTTCAGGTAAACAGGGTCGGCTACGCCTCCTCTTCTCTCTTCCGTCCTCTGGCCCCCTCTGGCTGGAACTGCCTGGTCAGGTCACTGTGTCCTCTCTCCGCAGCCCTTTGTCCTCCCATTGGCCGGAAGCAGCTGTGACTCCCGATCTAGGCCTCCCGATCACCAGGTCCCCAGTCCTGGGGTATCCATCCTCCAGGCCATTGGCTGGGGTCCCACGTTCCCTCTCTGGTCCTCTGTAAAAACAAACTCCCTCTCCCCTCACCTCGTTACACCAGTAACACTCAGGGAAACTGATTCCCACCCGCTCTGCATGCAAACCATTGAAAAACCTAAGTGAAAACAAGAAAATCCCCCACTTCGTCACACTGGTCTTTCAAAAGTTTACAACTGAACATGGACTTAGTAAAGCTTTGACACTTAACTATGCCGAAGAAAAATGCTGTTTTTAACCATCTTAATTTAAATGTAACAATCACAGAAACAGTTTCCTTCCCTTGTCAAATCTTTCTTTTTAAACTTTCCCTTTATTTGTTTAGCAGTTTATGGTTAACACAGAATTGTTCTGTATTTGCTTGTGTTTTTAAGTTATCTCTGCTGCTGTCTGATTGCTCACTTCCATTTCCAAATGAGGGGTGTGGTTGGTTGGTCAGTTTGTAACTCTGAGGTTCTACTGTAGTGGTCAGTGGAAGATTGAAGATAAGACCCTGGGGTCTCCTGGCTCCCAGCCCGATGCACCTTCCCCAATGTTGCAGGGTGCACTGAGGGTGACCTCTCCCCCCTCCCCACAGAGACATAGACAAGCTGGGAGCTGCATGATGCTTGGCCAGGCTGATGGGCCCAGGGTTTCCTGGGTTTTGCAGGGATTTCTGCTTGCTTTGGCTGCTCTAGATTTCGCCTGCAGATTAGAGACAATGTGTGATGGGCGCAGGAAGAGATGAGACATTGTCGACTTCCTGTAGCTGGAGCCACCAGCTGAGTTCCTTATCTTGGGCTCAGTGGAGCTGGGCACTGCAGCATTGGTAGCAGAGCTGAGAGGGCCCCTCGCTGCCCCCATCATGGCATCTGATCTCACCATCCTCCTCCTCGGTGAGTATTGGATAAAGCCAGGGCATGTGTCCATGGGGTGCAGGGCCGGCTCTAGCTTTTTTGCTGCCCCAAGCAGCAAAAAAAAGCGCTGCCCCCCAGCTCCCCCGCCGAGCGCCGCGCCGCCCCCCC